ACTTCTTCTGATGTTGATTCTTCTCTTCGTCCCGGTACTTCTATTTCTCGTTTCCGATTGGTTCTACCCCGCGAAAATCGAATCACAATATTCACTAAAAGAACAATGAATATTGAAAAATTTAATTATTTTAAATTTTATTGTTTTCTTGTGGGGCAATGAGTTTTTCTGTGGCGAAGTATCAAAGTTGGCAAATTTAATCGATCTATGTGCTGATCGAGGTCAAATATCTGTAATTGGACCATGTCTTGCTTTTGTAAAGTTCTGGATACGATATTCGATTTAAACGCTTCAAAGTTCAATGCATGAATACACAAGATTTTGGTGTTGTGGTTTTATAGTTCGGACACGATTTGATCAGATTCAGTGCGGCATATTTGATTATTTGCCTTCATTTTTTACGGGTTAATTTGGAGGGAGAGGGTGGTGGTGGTGCTAGGTGTCTATCTTGTTTTTGCGATGCTTCCCATCAATTACTCATTTAGCCTGGGTTTTTCGGCTGTTTATGAATCATTTACATGTAATGTTAATTGTGTAATACTGATGCAATTTGTTATTAGAATGCTCGTGCCCAATTATGATCTAAAATTATTTTCAATGGGCAGTTTACCTTGTTTATTTTTAGTGTGCATCCGGTTACCTTTTGTTCTGCAAGCTCATAATTTGAACGGTGCTTGTCAGGCACATAACTTGAATGGCACCTGTATCTTACATGGTGGTATATATAAATTGGAAAAACACATCTGTGCTTAAAAGACAATGTCTGTTTCGTATTAAATAGTCAATGATGTCATAGTGTTTTAAAATCCAGAGTACATATCTTCTGGGAGGCTGCTTTTCTGCTATCTGTTGCAGCTTACTAGAACAGTATGATGCCACTTATGAAGACAGCCTGCATGTTTATAGCCAATACAATCTGAGAGCAATTTTAGCTTAATACTTCTACAGTTCATGAGGGTTGATTGATCTATTTATGGGGGAAACTATTAAAATGCTACGAGGTAAAAGCACTACCATTGTGGTGAGACTGAAGATGTTATTAAGAAGGCAACTGCATTCCCGTAGACAATATAATTAGTGTCCTTTTGGTTAGATTTGTGGAAAAAAATTGTAACTATTTGCATTCCAAATGAATCATTTGGTTTTTGCTGAGCTATTTTTTCGAATAGTATCAGCATGAAAGAGGTCTCTGGAAGTACGATGAAATATTTCACTATGTGTATTGTCCTGAACCGTAAGCCTTAATTATGCATGACTGCTTCTAGTTTTTCAAATTAATGGCGAAATATTTCGTTTTATCTTTACCTTTTCCATCTAATGCTGACTCTAATTTACTGAGTTCTTGATAGTACTTATTTCATTTCGTGTTATTATTTCAGAACCAAAGAAAGCAACCACAAAGCAATTAGATCGAATAGATAACCTATTCGAATCGTATGCAAATAAGTCACTGGGTTTGATTGAGTAAGTATGTGCATGTTGAAATTATTGTGGCATGCTTTAATTGTTGTTTGATCTTGTTTAGGATTAGAATATTTCATGCTTTAGTTAAATTGAGTTATTTGCTTGGAACTTAGCTTATGTTTAAGTAGCATACGGTGGTTTATTTATTTTTTCAATGCACTTTTTAAGTAAGGAATTAGACAGGGCTTAGGTCTGTTTATATATATATATATATATAAATTTAGTTAACAAACACGTGTTCAGCAATATTATGCGTGTTGAGATTCAATGCTTCTCTTTTATGTTTTTAAGACTGTTTCCCTTCTTCGTTAAAGTGTATGTGACTCGTCTTGATGCATTCTCTATACTTTTTGTTTGGTTGGTCAGCCCAGACGGGATTGTGGCATTTTGTAAAGATGTGCATGTGGATCATACAGATGTTAGAATGCTGATACTTGCTTGGTAAGTAATGGACTGGATTAATCTTTCCTTTTCCTGTATATAACTGGTTTTTTGATATTGTGGCATATAAATATATGTTTTTATCTTGTCAGGAAAATGAAAGCTGAAAAACAAGGTTATTTTTCCAAGGTTGGTAGAGAGTATTGCTTTACAATCTTAGTTTAGTTACATACTGCTGAAATTAGTGAATGAACATTTCAACACTCATTTATTGACCATGGATTTGTGCTCTTGATGTAACCCTTCATTTAATACTTATGTATTGATGTACTTTTACATTTCAATGTTTTGATGTATATACTTGCATTTATCCTTTCTCTCTCTATATAGATATGTGTGTGTGTGTGTGAGCTCACAATGATGAAGAAAGGTTCAACCTCTCATTGAGAAAAAAAGGAACTTCTCACTTAAAGAAAACTCTGATTTGTTTATTTAATTTTGTGTGTAGCTAATAATGGAATCGATACAGGGAAATAGATAGGATGGCACTGTAAATTTCAAGTATGCTCTGTTGCTGGTCTTTTCTTCGTCTATTCTCTGCCCTTTAATCCGGAGTAGGCTTTTTACTTCAATAACAGATAAAGGGAGTTAATGGTATGGTGTGGCTCTTTAGCTAAACTTTTTTGTATTGTGAGCTCATGATATAAGAAATATTATTGACAACAGTGGTGTGGAAATTTGTTGGGGTGGGCAAGCAGAGGGCGGGATTGCAGCAGGATTGATGGATTTTGGTGTATGTGGTGGCAAGTAGCCTCTTGATGTCCCATGAAAGATATATTACCCGATGAAATTCTGTCTCTAAGGAAATTGTGAAATTTGTGAGGATGTATATATGTGAACTACACAAATGGTCTTGTAGGCCCATGTTTGATTGGAAGTTAGATAATTTTGTTTGTGGAGGTTTCTTTTGGTCTTCTTTTACCTTATCTGTACTTTATCTTCTTTTTTTTGGTACAATGGAGGTTTGAACACCTTGGTTGAGGAACGAAGCTGAGCTTTATGTTTGAGGTTGATGTTTCTTGTGGTGCATTTTCATTGGTCTGGTGAAGGACTGGACCTCTGACAACATCATTACATTCAAATCTTCTAGACTCTGGGCCCATCCAGTTGGGCTCATCACTCGTAGCCCAGGACTTTCTCTGGGTGTATCTGTTAGATTTCTGTGGATTACTGAAATACTAAATTCTCCCCAGTAAATGGAATTTTCTTTTATACAAAAGTTGGCTGAATCATGGTCTGAGATATGATTCTTTTTGACCGTCGTTCTGAATATAGTTAATAACTTTTCGTTTGTTAAATGTTGAAAACCCTGTCACATTTGGGTATATTGCATCTGTGTCAGAGAGAGAGAGAGCAAAACACTGTGTGATGGCATCTAAGGTCCTCAAACCAAAATCTTCGTATTTGGTTGCTATGCATCTTCTGTCATCATTAGTAAAGGTGGCTTGATTTCTTCACCACAATGTTTAGTTTTTGGACATGTTATCATCATCAGGTTTTTTCCTATCTTGATAGGATGATTGGCGAAAAGGGCTCAAATGTTTAGGGCCGCACCTCCCAAAGTTAAGTGGAAAGGTCGCTGTGTGGACTGCAGTGGGTTGGTGGCAGGGCTGTGGGGAGGGTGGTGTGGTGTGTGATTGTGGGGGTGAGGGGGGTCGGTGTGGTGGGGGTGTCTTGTTTTGCGTGTGAGTTAGCTTAGTGAAGTTTTCTTGTGTTCTTATAGTTTAACCAGGCTAAGTGTTGTCCATTCAAGAGGTCCTAGAATTTGTGTGTGTATATTATGGGTTTTTAGAGGTGTGGTCTTGTTCGTGTGGGGTTGGAGGTGATGGGGTACAGAGGGGGAGGGTGGCTTTGGAAAGGAAGATTTATTCCGATGCATTCATCCTGCTGACGGGGTAAAACAAATAGGGCGTCGCTTATTGTGACGTGGGGATTGTCACTCGTTATTTTAGACTACTTTTTCCTACATCCACTGCTTTCGAGTTCTTATATGTAAACTACCGTAAATAATATCTTTCAGAAGATAAGCAAAGGAGTGTAGATATTGAGACCATCTGTGAGCTGTTGAATGTCGTTCTGAGATCTGATTTCCCTACTCAAGTTAATTTATTAACTGAGTATCTAAAGGTAGTGTAGGTTTTTATATAATAATAATATGCTTGTCTGCCCTTTGCCTAAACTTTTTCAGTTGCATGTAATGACTCTTAATGACAACTTTCAGTAATGTCCAGCAAATATGCTAGATTGTGAAGGATATTATACTTTTTTTTCTTGTACTTAATTATTGTTCCACATTAAAACTATAGCTATTTGATCATATAAATTTGTTTTCTTGTACTTTCATGATCTAAAAGTAGTGTAAATTCTTGAAATATTTTCCCATGGAGTTAAAACGAAGGTAATTTCCCTTGGTTATTCCTTGTATATGATACACACTAAAGTTGTGTTGTTTAGGTGGAAGATGTTGAAAAGACTTTTAATGTCCATACACATTAAATTGTTTTCTGATAGTTGAAATGCTTATTTGACAGGTTCAAAATGACTACAGGGCACTAAACATAGATCACTGGAGAAATTTTTATCGGTTTTTTAAGGAGGTAATGCTGTTTTTATTTTTTTTCTTACTTTGCCTTTAGGATTTTATATCATACGCATTTTTCACTTCTGGTTGAGTTTACTATCTCTTTGTAAGGTTAATTTGATTATTTTATAAATATTACGAAGCCCTTAGTAAGTTGTAAAAAATAAAAATAGTCAGTTAACGCTCGAGAGGAAAATATCTCTTGGAATATTAGTTTACATTTTCTTTCTATTTGATATTTACTTTTATGGTGATAGCTAGGATTTTAGGGATCGGTTACTTTCTTCTATCAGTGAACATAACATACCCATTAGAAATTCAGTCGCAAAATTCAACAAGTTCCTCTTGATTTTGGGGGGTGAATTTGGTGTTACTTCATGCTACTCATCCTTTTCCATCCCCTTTTAATTGTTAAACAACCAAGTTCTTCTTGTTTATACTTATTACTGGTGTAAACGAGTCAGAGTTAAACCAAATTCGTAGTTGACTTGATTTAAACAATTCACAGTTAAAGCTTCTTAATTTAAACAGTTCACAGTTAAAGATTAGGGTTGACTAGTTCAAAATATGTCGTTTGCTTAACTATTTTATACCTTGATTATCTTCTTATCCATTGATCAATTCAAAGATCTTATTTTAATTTGGAAAATGATTCTTTGACACAACCGAAATATTTTACTTTCATTTGACACTATCCTTATTTACTTTTTACTCTCTTTTTTTCTTGAAAAAATATAAAACTTTACACCTTTATGACCATTTTATCAAATGAATGTAAAAGTGTGTCATAGTACATTACTCTTTTGATTTTTAATTTGGTATATAACAGGCATTCCACTTTCAGAACAGGACGAGCAAGAGTTTTGCAAAAAAATTTGAAACATAGAAATCATGTATTTATAACTGGTCTTGCTAACCAGTGAACTAAGGAAGGCAGGGCATTGATTAAAAAACTTTTATAAATCAAATAGAAGGATAACAAACTTTTATTAGAAATGACATTGGTTCAAACGAGGTGTGCCAATTGCTTTAACGAGTTTAATTCAAATCATTCAAGAAAAACTCAACCCATCCGTTTGCATGTGGTCAACGGCTCTGTGGGAATAACTCTAATTTCCATGTGTATGAATTGTACGCTAGTACATTGATGGGTTAAATTTGGTGTACTTCATATTTAAAACTCGCAAGCAGAAAAATTGTCTGACGTTTTGTTGGTGGCAGGTAAGTCTCAGTGATCTTCTAAGTTATGATTCCAGTCAAGCATGGCCCGTGATCCTCGACAATTTTGTTGAATGGTTAAAAGAAAAACAAGAGAAAATATAGTTCTCACCTTTCTCAAGTTTATGTTCATTTTTAATCTGCCGACTCCGAACGAGAATACTGTTTTGAAGCGGATATACAATTGTATATGGCTGATCTGAGTAATCAGTTCGCAGTTTTTCTGCAGAATTAATCCCATGTAACAACAACTTCATACATTGTCAACTGTCAAAGTTATATTCACTTTTCTTCATCTGGATATACTGTTTTAAGCAAATTTTGTTTCAGTTGCCAAGTTCCCGAAATCTTTTAATTTATTCCTTTAACGTTTATATGTGGCTCAACTGAGTAGGATAAAAACCAATTTTGGAAACAATCTGAAGATTTAAAAGGTAATTCAAAGCTTTCCACAAGAGGAAATGATTCTTTTACATAGGAATTTAAATTTTAATGTTAACAGTGTAGTAAAACAATTTACAAAAGCTCATGAATCTTACAGTGGTTTGGATTATGAAAAACCAAACGAGGAAGGATAATTCATTCTTGATTTTAAGATTCTTAACATTTGCTTTAGGTGGGATAAATATGTAATTTTTTCTAAATGAGAAAGGCTAATCTATTATTGGTTTTAGGATGGTGAGCAATTGTTTTAAGAGTGGAAACCCAAGTTTTGAATTTTGAGTTTTTATAGCAAGAAGCCTTGATGAAAGAGTTTTGTGACAATTGAAATATTATAACTGGACAATTTTACTATATAAAACGGGGTTATTGATTTCATTGTTTGTTTTAGGAGTCCAAAACAATTGCTCACCATCCTAAAACCAATACTAGATTAGCCTTTTTCATTTAGAAAAGATTACATATTTATCCCACCTTTTAGGAGTCCAAAACACTAAGTTGTTAAGTTATACATTCGAAGATCAAGTAGGAAGGCAAACGTTTTATTTTTTTTGTAGCACTATTTATATATAATATAGTAAAATTAACATATTTTTTCAAAGTGATTTATGCTGTCTTTTGAGTAAAAGAAGAAATTAATATTATACAGCAAAATCAAAAATGTTGAATAAAGATATCGAAGGTTGCATTTAAGGGTGAAGAGAGAGATTCAAAAGTTTCCTTGGCACACCTAGACTCCATTGTTCAAGTAAGACAAATCCTACCAACTAAAGTTACACGAGCATACTCTTTTATAAGATGAAGTGACTCACAGATTTTCAAAGTCTTTTAACGGCTGGATTTTGAAAATGTCTACATGAACTAATGGACATACTTCTCAAATTGTCAATTCACAGACAAGGCAAAACCATTTTCAGTCTTATGCTATCTGTACTTAAAACTTGAGAATTGTAAGTTGTATTAGACTAATTAAGGATGAGAGTTAACTTTTGTTTTGCAAAGGAATTATTATTGGTGTATTTTTTGGGAGAATTCAAACATGAAGAGACTATTACCTAAATGTATTAAGAATAGATCACTTAAAAATCTGTGTATCACTCTAAGTTTTGTTTTATTAAAAAAAAAAAAACTTCTTTCTGGACTGAAATAAAGAAATCTTGATGTTCAAGACAATGCAAGAAAAAGAAATAGAGTTCTAAATTGTGAATGAAGGTATGAACTAAAGTTCTTAAAAGATATAATATATATATATATATAAAAGCTTACAAAAAATAAGAGATAAAACTAGATATATAAATGGAATGAAACGTGTCTAGAATAAAGGGAGAGTTTTGGTGTCAAAATGAAGATGGTTTAAACGAGAGTTGAAAAAAAAAAACTTTTTGAGTTTTTTCGTGATGGATAATGTCTGGCTTTTATTATGGGAGATTAGGAGTGAAGAAGAAAAAAAATTGATTTACTATTATTAACTCAAATATTTCGTTATCGTACATTTGTTACGAATTAAACATTTTTATTAACACTGAATTCAAATGATTATTCTTATATGTTTAATTAAGATTTGGGTCGACATTCTTGAGATATATGTGTTTATGTGTAACTAACACTCCAAGTGTCTAAATTAATCATTTGATATATTTGAATACAGTGGAAGAAAAAAATTAATAAAGATTTTACAAATTGGATATAAGTTAGGTGGTTAAAAACAAATGACCATTCTCCTCCCAAATACTTAAAAGTACTTAATAGGATTTGTATGTACTAATAAATGTCCATTTATATATTTTATGGAAGTCAATAATGAAATTCAAATGGTTAATCAAAGAAAAATTGAAGTCAATGACATTGATCCATATAGATAATATAAACTAATTAGGTTAAATTTTTGTTATACTATTAAGTCTTTTATTTTCTTCTTCTTTATGCCTCTTTTTGCTTAATTCGGCATATATGCTAATTTTTACAAATTTCTAAAGTTATTTCTCATTTTGAGGTTTTTGGTTTTTGCATGGAGCATAGATCAACAAAACTTTAATTTAGCCAAATTTTATGACTGCGAAGATATAAGATAAGATATACACCTACTTGTATTATAATAGTGTAACCAATTGGCACATTAATAACTTAGAAATCAACTGAGACATCTCTTAGCTGTTTTACACAATCCATAAATCGCAATGTTTTAAATAAAACAGGTGAAAATAATTCATTTTGCTGAATGAGGCAATTCAATTACTTGATGTTGAAAGATAAGATACAAAATGATAGCAGAAACACGAAGCGACGGGCTCAAGTTTCAGTTCACTCTTCCCCTCTCATTTATGCAAAGCATCCATGAATTTAGAGCTGCATTAATGGCAATAGTTAGATAGCTACTATTGAAATTTATCCCATAACATATGATCATTTATAAATCAATCATAATATAAATGAGGTTATTGCTTCCTGTACACTACATTTATTGACTGCATTCTTATAATAATCCAGAAATCACTTTTATAGAGGATAAAATATGATTTTGAAAATTTGGGGTTGCGAGAAGAAATTGATGAGGTGCATAAAGTAAAATCCTATGAATGAATGTAATCTTGAAGCAATTTCCTTTACCTTGTGTTGAGATTTTCCAATCGTTGGTATCGAGGCCTGCAGCCCAAAAGAAATATCCACCGAGATAAAGAGATTGAGCAAACTCAACCTTAGCCGCCACCGTTACCGGGTCATCGTACCCGACCCAGTTACTACCACTGTAAGAATAAACCGACGCCGTTTCCTCGTCATACACCACATTTGCACCCGTTTCGTTATTAAACTCCAACACCTGAAACAGCGCCATCGCACCATCCATCCCGATACCCGCCCCTACAGCCGGAGCTCCGATTCCATGAACACTCGGGTCAAGTAACTGCCATGTCCTCCCATAAAGCGGCAAACCCATAACCACCTTCTTCGGAATAACCCCACCCCGGATCCAGGACCGTAACCCGTAGGCCACACTAGCATTACTTTTCGGGTCAAAGAGCCCAGCAGGAGGCCCAGTGCGGTTACTCCAAGGCCCATTAAGATCGTAACTCATGACATTGATCCAATCTAAATTCTCGTTAATGGAACGCACGGGGTGTCGCAAAGACGTCGTTGTGGAAAGAAAGTAATCGACGGAGAAGTACACGGCGGCGGTGAGGAGGAGCGGTTTCCGGGAAGTGGCGGAGGCCTCGGAGACGATGGCGGCGCGCAATTCTTTGAAGAGCTGGCCGAGGTCCTTCATTTCGTTCGCGGTGCGAGGGAACTCCCAATCAATGTCAACGCCGTGGAAGCCGAAGGCCCGCGCGACAGCGATGGTGGAGTTGATGAAGGAGGCGCGCACGGCGGCGTTGGAGGCGATGGCGGCAAAGAGGTCGGCTTTGACGTTGGCGCCGCCGATGGAAACGAGAGTGGTGACGGAGGGACGGAGGGTGGCGGTGAACTTGGCGAGGGTAGCGGCGGTGGAGTCTGGAATGTCGAGTTGGTAGGTAGCGTTGTTGGGTGCAAGGAAAGCATAGTAAACGTGAGTGAAGAGTGATGTGTTTATGGCTGAAGGAGGGAAAAGCGGTTGTTGAAGCCAGTATATAGCTTTGATGTCGGAAGTGGAACTCTTAACGGTTATGACAAAGAACATTGGTAAAAACAGAAAACGTAGCATGTTGGTGCATGCCATGAAGAAACTTTGGTTATTGAAATTTTTGAAGAATATAAAGTATGCAATTTGATTATTGTTTCTTTAGGTTTAATGCATATTATAATTGGAATTCGGTAATGGAAGTTTGAGAAAATGTGAGGATCTTGGAGAAAAGATTGTGAGCACATGGCCGTCCATGGTTGGAAAGAATGTTAATGGATTCTCTTGCCGTCGAAACAAGTACAATAACGTGTTTCTGCACTCCATGCTTCAATGTCAACTTCAGCAATGGCATAAACCTTTGTCAACACTTACTCCAATTAATTTATGCCAAAAAGTTCTAATAGAGAATGTAACAACGTTCATTCACGTAAAAATAAAAATTGTTTCAGTTGCCTAGCGTCCTTTGTAATATCGGAGAAGGTGAATATAAATATTTTATATTTGTTATATTTGACTTTATAAAATTAATCATACAATACATAATATGGTACATACATGTAGCCTAGAATATAAAATGAAAAAAAAAAACTGAAATATTTCTCCTTAGCTGGCTTACATGTGAATTCTGGTAAACCAATTGTGTAGAGAGCAAACATAAACTTTTAAAAATTGACGATTGAGTCCAACGTATGAAGGCAGACATTCGTGACGACACAATGTTATATATATATATATATATAAACGTTCATCATCATTATAAATAGTTTGAATTCACAATCAAAACTGCATTTAAAATCTTCTATAAATATAAGTTAGGAAAATATAACAATATTAAGCCATTATTACCTGATTTAGAAATAAATATAATCAATTCATATGAAATCTAAAAAAGAATCAAATTCATTTTAAGACATTTTACTTTATTTTTATTATTATTATTATTATTATTATTGAAAAAAAAAACTTTCTAAGTTAAATTCATAAAAGGAGAAACACAAAATATGAAAAATGAAATAAACGAGTTTTATGTATAAAGGAGAATAGAAACTTAAATATTAAGTTTTTTACTTTCCAACTTCTAAAAAAATTATACGATTGCACTGATTAACATTAGAAAAATGATTTATGGACACTGAAACGTACATATAGAAAGAGAATAAAAATGATTAGTTTATAAAAAGAGAGATAGAAAGAAAAAAAACAAGTATACAAAATTAAGGTGTATTTGTATCATTACTCTTAAAATTATACCTATGTTGGAATATAATGTTAGAGTGAAATAAAAATGACTTGTTTGGTAAGTACTAGAATGTCCTGCTTCATCATCTTGGTGCCAGTTGAGAAATTGTAACATCATTGATTGAATAAAAATTGTCTCCGGTATGAGATGTTTCTTTCTCGTCTTCACGTTTCTGAACTGAAAAGGCAGGAACTTTGGGAGTACCAATAACTGCACTTTCATTCTTCAGCAGTGAATCAACTTCCAACATGGAAGGTCTATCCATAGAGTTTTCCTGAACACACAGTAGAGCTACCTGCATGCATCTCATGATTTTACAAGGAGATGCTCTATCATCCAATGAAGGCTCAACAAACTCCACACCTCTTCCTTCCCTCCACAGTTCATATGCCTGAATTAATACTTATTTCAACCTCAACCAAACCAAGAAGAAATCATAAATAGAATAGTCATAGGAGAAAAAAAAGAGATAATTAACTTACATATTCCAAAAGGGTCATATCTTCATCCATGCCATAATAACATGAAGTCCTCTTTCCACTTATGATTTGCAAGAGAAGAACTCCAAAACTGTAAACATCGTACTTCGTTGAGTATATGCCTTTTCTCACGTACTCAGGAGGTACATACCCACTGAAAAGACAACTGGAAGTGATTAGAGAGAGAAAAGAAATAACCATATATAACACATGACTGTTGAAAATTCACTTACTATGTTCCAACTATCCTTTCTGTGTTTGCTTCAAGGTCATATTTTCTGAAAATTCTAGCCATGCCAAAATCGGATATCTTTGGATTCATATTGTCATCTAGTAAAACATTACTGGCTTTAAGATCTCGGTGGATTATAGTAAAATTTGAGTACTCTTGGAGATAAAGAAGGCCTTGAGTAACGCCTTCAATGATATTGACACGCTTGTTCCAGTCTAAAAGAATTGATTTCGTTGGATCTGCATCAAGTTCAACCCTGGATTATTAGTCACAGGACATTCTGGAATGATTTCTAATTTGAAGTTTAAGTGAGCTTAGCAGTAGTAGGTTAAGAAGCTTAGAAGAAATGTAACAACTTCAATGAGAGACGAGTGATGTAGCAACTGACCAAAGAGGAAATTATCTAAGCTTTTGTTTTGCAGGTATTCATAGATCAGAATTTTCTCGTCCCTTTTTGTGCAGTATCCCAGAAGTCTAACTAAATTCACATGCTGTAGTCTTGCTGTGAGTGTGATTTCATTCTTGAACTCTTCAGGGCCTTGATTTGAGGTTTCTGAGAGTCTTTTCACTGCTATTTCCTGACCCTTCCGTAATTTTCCCTGACAGAATCTAGTCTTAATTACCAATTTTATATGGACGAAAAACACTGTTATCTATCCCTAAATTTATTGTATCAAATGTTAAAAAACTGTTGTCATTACAGCTAAAAGGAGTGTTGCCTAACCAGAGACTGAAATGTATGAATAATTTAATACCTACAAAAGCTTGTAAGCAATACATTATCACTATCTTACCACAGAAATAATGGCGCTAGCTTTCAGTTCAGATATTCTAATTGCACGAAGCATGTTTCATTAACAGACGAGTTTCCAAATCTTACCTTGTACACTGTGCCAAATCCACCCTCTCCAAGCCTATTATCTTTTGAGAAGTTATTTGTTGCCGCTTTAATAGTGAGATAGCTGAATACTGTCAAATCAGAGCCGTTTGCATCCATATCCTTTTCTGCTTCTGGTAAATATCTCAGTTTATACAATAGTTTGGTAACAGTGGCTACGGCCCCTGCAAAAAAAGTGGGACATAAATTAAAGCAAAGATGTATATTCTTTATAGATAACTCAATTTTTTCATATTTTTTACATCCTTACCTGGGTTGTAGTAGCAAAATACTATTCCCAACAGAAGGGCCAAAGTCAGAGTAGCAAGCAGAACAATTATCAGCAACCTCATCTTGTGATGATCTTCAAATTCTTCATCGACAGCTTGAGCTGAAGGATTATTTTGTAAAGTGACGCATATGATATATGTTATTTCAAAAACTAAGACGAATATTTGATGCATAACAATATATACTTACATAAATATAGTCCACATCAACCAATTGTTCTGTAACTCACCTGCCCCTATTGAAAGTTCCCAATTTTCGTCATTGCCTACTTGGAACACGTTGTAACCAAGTAGCCCATTTTCCCTTGCATAAGAAACTTTGGCCCTGATGATTTCCACATCATCAAAATTAACCCAAGTGGTGGACGCAACGGTGAACTGGTTCACCACAAAACTTGCATTGTAACGTGAAACAACTCCATTTCCAAAGCTTTTGATGTAACTCTTTATGAACTTGTAACCCATGGAACCATCCATTGTAATGGCAGGTCCTGAAGCTGGTGTTCCCACGCCACTGTTTGCAGCAGGAGTCACAAGTTTCCACGCATATCCATGATAAGGCAATCCAATCAACAGCTTCTTAGACGAAAACCCCCTCCTCCTCCACTCTCTGATTCCAGAATCAGTATTATCCCAATCAGAAGAACCATACAAAGCCGCATGAAAAGCCGTGGAATTGGCCACCTTAGGGAGATAGTAATCATAAGCCACAAAATGCACCCAATCCAAATTCTCCTGCATTGAATCGAAGGGGTAACTCAAGGAGTTCGAAGCCTTAAGGTAGTAACCTGCCATCACTAACAACAACTCTGGCTTGGTAGAGTTTCTTGCCTCGGAAGTTATTGCAGCACGCCACTCCTTCAAAAGGGTTCCAAAATTGGCAACCTCGGAACTTGGCCCCGCCCCAGTAAGGTCTATGCCATGAAAGCCATAGAACCTCGCTGTTCTGATGGAAGAATCAATGAAAAGTTTCCTGTAAGAAGATCTATTTAGCATTGAGGTGAAGGCCAAAGAGTCCTCCCTGCCAGCCCAGATGGATAAAAGCGTTGAAACAGATGGGTTTTGGAGCTTCACCGTGTTGGTGAAGGTGGAGAACTTGTGCTCCTCGGAAGAGTTGATGAAGATGTTGTAGGTGGTGGGGTTTATGAAGGCAAAAGCACATAAAAGGTGAGTGAAAAGCGTGGCTTTGATGTCTGAAGCAGAAATTTCATTGCCGGAATAGTAATACCCGGCTTTCACCCATGAAGGGTTATCTGCAAAGGACTGAGATTTGAAAGAGAATAAGGTGAGAAAGAAAGTGCAGAAAACGATGAGATTAGAAGGCATCTTGATAATGATGAGAATTGAAGAGTGTTGAAGAAAATATTGATTTGTTAGTGTTGCCATGTGTTGACACTTGCATCGCTCTCTTTTCTTATTTTTTTGTTAATGTTGATCTCACCATCATCATCACCGTCATCTCACCATTTCCAACAACAGTACTGTTACTAACTAACTTTTTCACATTGGAGAAAACTACAGGACTCCATTGTTGCGTGAAAAGAACAAAAAATGATGGTTCTAGAGTGCACTATAATCAGTTACAGCTACTTAGTTCCTAACCCTTTATATTCAAGGAAGACTAGAAAACAATTTCATCTTCTCTTCTTTCTTTTCTCTGCTTCCACCACTGTTCACAAAATTCTCCAGTGAATCCATCTCCATGATATCAATTTGGGTATCTCATAACTGCTACCCCGTGTTTGCTAGTTTCTTCAATTAGTTAATGTTTTGAAAGCTCTTCTATTTAACATTAGAAAAAAAAAAAAAACAATAACATATGTATCAGTAATAAAAAAGAAAATTCTTTGACGATAACCAAGAAAATTTATAAATATATTTTTATTTTTATTTTATCTAATTTTTTATTATATAACAGTAAGATGATTAGATATATAATTTATAATATATTATATTAAAATTATGTTGTAACAAAAGTAATAGTTTTATGGAATTTAGAAATATAAATAATTATAGATTTATTGAGTATAGAATACGAGGAGTTATTTTTTTAGAATTAGGTGGAAGCATTTTCACGTTACTTGTTATTTTTTTTTCCTCCACTATGTTTTAGTTCTTTTAATATTAATATCTTTTATTGTA